TCCGAATTTTGTATTAATTCTATTAATGTTAATACATATACATATGTCATATGTACGTACAAATGTATTTACATTTGGATATTTGTATAAACAAAAGATTTTATTTTGTCTAAATTTTGGATACTGAATGAAGTATAATTACCGTTTTCCTTTTATGTCTCGTATGCTTTTGATGTAGTCATAAACATATGCAGAAAAAACTGTGATTAAAATTCGCCAACGGAACGAAAATTTCTGTTTGGTTTTAATGACAAGAAATTTTCCTCAATAAAATAAATTCACACAACAGAATTATTTGCCTAGAAATAATAAAATAGAGTTTTTTTTCGAAAAACACAAAAAAACTTTTAAGTTATTATACTGGGCTATCCATTTTGTGGTTTCGAAAACGAAATAAAATGAACTTAAAATAATTTTTTTTTCATTAAAATTTTTTTCTTATAATAAATTTTGAGCCCTGACATTATATGTGAAATAACAATCTTGCAAATTTTTGCAAACCTCGATCCGCTTGTTATAGTTTTCGACCAGCTATTGACACATATTGGTCGGTATCTCAGCCATACTTTGATAAATATCGGATTTCAAGTGCTTAAAAGTTTAAGGTTTAACCGCATAAGCATTTCCTTTCATGTAACCCTACAAAAATAAAGTTCAACGGTGATGAATCGCACTATCTCGGTGGCCAATTGAGATGAGAGTTCAAGTGATCGGAAAATTTCTCTCGCTATAAAGCCAGGAAGGTTTTGTTTTTTTGTTTGGTGTAGTTGGCAAGGAATCAGCAACTAATTCGAACCGATTTTACCAGCAATTAGAGCGTATGAAAGAAGCAACCGCTCAAAAGTGCCCAACTTTCAACAAGAAGGTGATTTTTGTTTCATCAGGACAACGACACACCACACACGGGGATAGTGGCTCGCCAGAAGCTCAGAGAGCTTGGTTAGGAGACTTTTATACATACCTCTTATAGTATGGTAATAGAAATAAAAGTTTTCATGAAAGAGACATAATGACATTTTCTTCGAAATGGCAGCGAGTTATAGAGCAAAACAGTTCGTATTTCGCATAAATCGGATCATTCTAATTATTGTAAATAAATCCTTCAATTTAATTAAAGAATTATGCATTACTTTTTACTAAACCGAGTATAAACCTTGCTTTTTTATTATACACAACCGTTGTACTTAAATTTCGTGCATACATTTATTCTTTCTTTGAAACCTCCTTTTCGCATTTTCTTACATAAAGTTATAACTTTCTAGTTTGGATTAAGCGTAAAAAAATGATTTATACGGCGCTCAATTTTTTTATAGTCTCAAGCATTTGTTCCATGTGCTTATACATATGAGGGCATATGGTTTATTTATTTAATATATTTACGAGTGTGCACACTGCTAATTATTTAAAAGCTATAAAAATTATTTATTAGTTCAACTATTCACATACGTACGAGTCAACAGTATAATAGAGTATTTATTAAATCAGTTAATTTATTTGCTTCAAACTAGAAGTTCAAAGAACAAAAAAGAGCTCATCACAAAGCGCGAAAACTCATTTATATTAAGTTAGAGATATTATATTTATGTATTCTGAATTTTATACAAATAATGTGGCTGTAAATAGAATGGCATCAGTTATTATTTCACATTCTCGGGAACATTTTCCAAAATGAAATTCTGTCGGATATCAGATGTTTTCTATTTTGTTTATTTGGTTTTTGGAGATTTAATTTTTTTCATTAAAAAGTATCCATGTACATATACATATGTGTATGTACATGTAGTTAGGTTGATAATCGTGCTTAAATTGCACTTAACCTTCAAGCGGTCGGGCGGCGTATAATCGACCCCGCTCATAAGGATTTCGTTCATAATTACACAATCAAAGGCAATGATAATATATCTAAATACAAATAATTAACGATCGTTACTGAGTCAGTGTTTTATTTCTCTAATATATAATCCATAGGTCTTTTCAACTACGCGCAACCGCTGCCGTTATAAGTGACCGCGCGACCGCTTGAGGGTTAAAAACGTAATTGCTTGGTGTACGATCCAATACATACATATATATTCAAGTTGCGATGAGATTGATTTTTAAGAAAAAGCGAGAAATACAAGTTTTCGGCATTTTGAAATACATTTTCAGAAAGTCTTGACCCGTTCAACATCACTAAGACCTTATTTGATGCACGACTAATTATTAGCTTATCAAAAATCGAAAAAACCGCAACTCAAAAAATCTCAAATGTTCAGAAGCGGCAAAAAAATCAGTTGGCGCTATTCAAGCAGCGCGGGTCATACTCATGCTGATATTGTTTTGGTTAAAAAAAAAAAAATATTGCGGTTTAAAAGAATTTTTTGGAGTCGTCAGATGTGTATTTCGTGAAAAGATATGATTTTTAAATTTTTGATTTGTGACTGTTTTTGATTAAATGTGCGATATGTAAATATGTAAGTATATTTTTTATATTTATAATTAATTTGATTTCATTATATTTAATAAATTTTAATAGATATGCCTTGCATTATTATTATTTCATTTTATGTAAAAATAAAATATTATTTATCATTTAAAAATATACGTACGTTTATAATTATACTTGTAAACAAACAAATTATTGTAATAAAATAAAAAAAACTGTTGTATATATGCTATATAATTAAAAAAGTAGCTGCAATAAAAAGTATCAGCAATTTGTAATACCAATGTTTTGTAATTAATATTGAGTTTGCATATCGTATATGAAATCTAAAAATGTCACAACTAAAAATTTTTCAATTTCGTATTTTCCCATAAACCAGTTTATAGAACATAACTCCAAAGACTGTGAAAAGCTCGTTAAATCCCACTCTTCTAAACTGGAAAAATACCTTATACCTGTTTTTATGTAGCCACATTGCTTGAATAGCGCAAACTGATTTTTTTGCCTCTTCTGATTATTGCAAATTTTTTGAGTTATGCCATTTTTTGAATTAGCGCGTTTGTATGTATTTCGAAAAAATAAAAGTTATTACCATTTAATCTATGGGAACACAAAGAAATAAGTGTATAGTGTCTTTATCATAGTTCATAGTTCATCAAAATTATATTGTAGTATCTGGTATACAATTAGTTAAAGATAGGTTATAGTGGATACCGAAGTATCGAGCCGGATTCACCAACGTCTGACTAAGACCCATTGTAAGGCCACAAAAACTTAACCATGAGGTTTTATGATCTATCCATTTTGATTCTCTAATGAACCTCAAAAGATCCATGACTTTTATGTCAGCTATCAGCGATAGACCTTTCAACGATAGGGTCCCAAAATTATGAAATCTCGCCTTGCTCAAAACAGCCCAGCCGCAGACTCGGCTCTTCGTTTCCTTCTCTTCATCCATCTTGCAGCTTCTGTTCTATCAGACAGTGACCTGGCAGAACTCCTTTTATATTGGTTACTTTGAACATATCGCCTCTTTTTAAGGAATACATATTTCGTGATCTCTTTTTATCTCAACTTGGCCATGTACGCCTGGTTTTGTGGCGGGTTGTAATGTTATTCCACCTTTTAGCGGCTTTTTCATATATGAATTCCTTGAGAAGTAGGCTGCTAGTAGCAGAAGGCATACCAATGCGTTCTTTATCGAGAAGAATCTGCTTGATCGTACCTTGCTTACCAAGTTCATGCGCCCTAAGTTTTCCCAAGGCAGCTCTGTGGGCAGGTAACCACGTGAGAGACAGTATGTTCTGTTTGGTCCGCGACAGTTCAGCACTAATTTAGAGTTTAGCATAAATGGGCCCCAGAAAACAAAGATTTCCTTATCTTTGAAGCTGGCTCCAATTTGCTTTGCAGCCGCCATGATAGTAGCTATCTCCGCCTGGAAAAACCCGGCAATGGTTCGGCAGCCTGAAAGAGAGTTACATCGGAGGGTTTTCTGAGAAGAAACCTCCGCTAATTTTACCCTCAAGCTTTGACCTGGGCGTGTATATTCCTGGGCTATACCTTGGAGTAGTGTAATTACTTACCCATTCTTGCCTGCTGGGAATTCGTATTTTTAAGTGGATATCAGTTAATACTATTGAACCACATCCAAGTCGTTTTTAATTAATTATCCAGTATTGTCGAGTGTCCCGTAGGAAGATTTTTAAGTCAGTCCCGAAGGTCCGCAAGGCCAAGAATTTTTCATTTTAATTCCCGTCATAACCAATGTGATGTAAATAAGAATAAGAAGCCGTTTTGATTTCTGCTTTCAGATGATGATGCTTACAGGTATCGTGAAGGAAAAAGGGAATATATTTCAGCAGCAATTTAAAGAGCCGTAATTAAATTCATTTAATATTTTTATACGTCTTTGATTTATAATTTGCAGGAGCCTACCCTTAAAGCTTATATATGTATGGAGCGTTTAAATGCAGAGATTCGTGCGCTTGCTAAAAGCAAAAATCATTCAAAAAATATGTAGAACTCCAAGATTGAACTCAAATGATTCGGTTTTATAAGCTGAAGTTCGGCTAATGCTTGCACTGAAAAAAGGTTAGCTAAAAAAAAGTACTCTGATACCTAATTGAATTTGCTTATAAAAAGAAAAAATCAAAATTGTATGTAAAATTTTCTCTTAGAACCATTTAAATGCCACCAACCAATTAAAAAACTGAACAAAGAGGTCTCATGGAGAGATGGTCAAACTTACTTTTGTACCCTTCTGTCACTTAAGTCTCACATTGACTTTCGTAATTTCAATTATGATGATTGTCCTTCATAACAGAACATTGTTTTTTTTAACAAATAAATAAAAAGAATTGTAGTGAATTTTCCAGAAATGATTTGGGTGCAAGTACGCAATTTTTCATATATTTGCCAGACATATTTACACTAACATCAGCATGAAATTGTTATGAACAAAGGATGACATTAAACACTTGAAAAAAAGGTCAGGACTAGCATTCATCACACAATAAGAAGGTAAATAAGCAGACGAAAAAAGCATAACATTTGTACAAAACATTTTTACGCTCACCTTCTACCGCTGAGCCACCAAAGCAAATTTCACATGGAGCCACATACACATATATTCGCATAATATTTGCACAATAATTTTTAATTTTTTTTCAACTGGCTCAACATGATTCTTTTATGACCCATTATAGATTTTTGTCTTATTTCACTTTATGGCAGCATGAATTTGCATCCAACTGTTTTGAAGTTATTTTTTCCATTATTAAATTGTATTCAATTGAATACTGGCAAAACCTTTATAAGAGAGTCCTTCTTTTTTGATTTTAAATTTCAATAGCGGACTTTTTTTTTGTTAGTTGAATGCTTTGGTTTCTATACTTTCACCTTTTTTTTGGCTACAAGTATGACTTTTATTATTTAAATATTCCACGGCCTTTTTAATAAATAAATGCACAACGTGGTTTATTGACGAAAAAATTGACCTCCCATTGCACAGTGATTTTGTTTGTTTATTTTCGCTTTAATTTTTAAACTTTTTGCATACACAATGGACAATATTTTTTATTCGTTTTTACTCACTCACTAGTTTTTCATTTTCTCTCTTATTTTTTATATTTTAGCATTTACTTTGGACAATATTTTTAAAGCGCTTGTATTTTTTTATATACCATATTTAATTTTCTTTTTTATTTATAATAATTTCACACTACACTTACAAAAGCTATTTTATAGCCAATAAAATGAGCAAACGGTATGTTATTTTCAAAAACTTATTAAAGTTTTAATTTCCAATAGTCAATAATTCATTTGTGTTTATGGCTTTAAATCAAAGCCCGCCGTGGCGTATACTTAACCGTCGCCTTCATGCGTATTATGTAGCACTTAATAGTAAGACGACGCGACAACTGAAACACAAATCTCTTGCTCTGTCGTACAAATGCCGTATAATTTGTTGATGCTGAGCTTTCTGTTAGAAAAAGCTTAGTGCAAAGAAAAAATTAAATTAAAATTTCTATTGGCGTTATGTTTTTGATAAATATTTTTTAATAAATTTTTTTAATTAAAAATTAATTTTTTTTTTAATTTTTGTCAAAAATATTTTTACTTAATCATATTGAACATTTGGTTATAGAGCTCTTTTTTAATTAACGCTGAACAAGTATAAGTTTGCTTGCCAACAGCCATTTACTCATGCTCTGCTGTAGAGTGGTTACATAGCGCTGTTAAATAACATTTGTTACTTAATAACAGCAGCCTAACTTCGTGCTATTGACACTTTAACAAGTTCACCGGTAAGTTGTTGTTATTTTGGCAAACCGGCTAAAATTTTGGTTGTGTTTTTAGACTTTCTATGGTAATTAAGTTAGGTGTTACTATGTGTACACTGTTAAACCTCCGTTTTTCTTATTTCAAATCAGGAAAAGTAAAATTGGGAAAAAATGTTTACTTTGTAGTTGTAAATTTTTAAAATTTTTCAAATATATTTCCATACAAAAATTTTACTTTTTAATAATATTAAGACGCCGGTAATTATTATTTTCAATTTACAAAACTAACTTAAATTTGGCTCTAAATTACAGTCACTCGAGGCGTTTATTAGACAGCAGGAATTGCAAGAGTGGCTAACAACAAATTGTTGATGCTGCGTTAACTGTCGGTAGCACCACAGTCGATTGAAAGTACATTTTAAAAATTTTTCCAAAGTTTTCTAAAATTTCAGTTATTACTGCTTCTCCGTTTTAACGTTTTTTTCAATTGCAGCATAAACAACTTTTATAGTATTTTTTGATTAGATCTTATGTAACATTTAAATTGTTATTTACCATTATTTGAAATTTACTAAACATAATTTTTTTTTTCATTGAAATTTCAAAAAGTAAGCTTTCAAATGCAATCGCTCAGTAAATGTTTTTAAGCTTTTATTAGTATTACACTCTTATCTACTTATGTTAAATAACATTTTATGTGAGAGCAGTAACACCGCCCGCCTTTTACTGGCACTACAACATGTTCGACCACAGTCAATTTGTTATTGTTTTTGTAAACCGGCTGAGTTTGATGTTGTGTTTATATTTTCGATGATAATTACGTTTATCTCCGATCAAATGTAAATAATGTTGATGATTAAGTAAATACATACATATATATATATGTATATGTACGTATTCTCGTGTACTACCTCTTTTAGAAACTCTGTCCACTTTTTAGTAGATAATCTTTATTTTTAACAGTTTTATTTATAAACTTTCTGTTTTATTAATAATAATTATTTATAATGAGACGAAGCTCGCGGTCAAATGCAACAAATCCAACTACAATGAATTATACTGTCCGTGACAATGAAAGAAATGTGTAAGGTGTAAGGTGATGGCGCTAAAAAATCAAGGAATCGAATGTTACTAGACCATTTTATTTCCAATGCAATAACTTTTATACTGCACACTCTTTAATGGGACTTACTCAACTCATTTCTTTGGCGCCGATTCACTAAATTTATGGTCTAGTCGTCTTTGTCTACTTCCCTTTGGGAATGCTTTACGTTACCAATCCTTTGAATACATTGAAATGTGGCTTTTCAAAATTTTTAAATGGTTCTCGACCTATAAAATATAGTTTTTTTCCATTTGATGTCTGTGTTATTGTTTGTGTATATATTTTTATTAATGATTATCTTCATGAAAAATATATAGAAAACTTGAATTATTTGTTTCGAAAAGTCTTCGAAATACTCGAACGATTTGTGTTATTTAAGTGGGAAGCTCATTACTCAGATATTGGCTTTTTTGTGGGAAATGTGATGAAATTTTATTCGTTGCTTGATTTGATTAACATATGTTTTTTGCCTAATTTATCATATAAAATACTATTTGCCGAGTAAACGCGCAGAGCCCATTGAAAAATTCATAATTTTTGTTCGATTTATTGGACACTTTATTTTTGGGTAGCTTCTTGCTATAATATTACTTAAGAGCTTATTCTCTTCGTAAATATACAATCCTCAGATATATGTAAGGCACTGTGGCTCAGATCAAACCATTAAAACAAATTCAAACTATTTTTAGCGTAAACTGAAAAAGGCAAATCCGATTAGAATTCAAGTAAAAAGATTTCCCTTAAGTTGTCTGACAAATGTTAGAATTTCTAAACGAAAAGCTGATTTCTATTGTATGGCAATTCACTTAGAAAGCAGCAGTATGTCCTCGTGACTTGCTCTATTGTGTAGACATATTTGCAAATACACCTCTATCAGACACAGTCACACAAAGCCATCTATTGGCCCATTATATATTTGGTGAGCAAATACATTGTTGGGAATTCAATCATAAAAGAAAAATCAATTTAAGGCTCTTCCTTCTCAATAATTATACCCGCGTTCCAAACTCATCTGAATACTCACGAACCAAGGTTAGCTACAAAACGATGACTGTTGAGAAAATACTGGAGAAAAACAGCGATTTCGCTCTGTTCAGTACACCTGAGAGAGCTGTATGTAGCCTCATTTTATATGTCCCCTTCCAATAGAAGTAGGAGAATCTTATAAATTGTTCTCGGTAACGAATATTTAGTTATCAGTATTATTTGTCATTCTTTTTATTTGTTTAAATATAAAAATATTCTGTAAGTGTATAAAGCACTCTAGAATAGACTATTTTTTTAATTTATTGTAGGAATATGCAAAGAGAACAGAATTATTATTTAAACATTTCATTAAAAACATATTGAAGGTTTAATTTTTTGTTGGTATACCTAATCGTATCAGAATACCGCTAGTATTGACGCTACAATTTACGTAATCCTATTTCACTGTATGCCCTTCATATTGCTAAATACACCTGTATTCCTATGATATACGCGTACAATACGGCTACAAAGGACTCTGCATGCTAATAAGCAACAACGTATGTACCTTAATGGTTCCCAAAAGTTCACTCTTAGAATGAGGTATGCTGAATGAATCACAAAGTAGCTGATGTTGCGGTCGATATCTCTGGTTTTGGCTCGCGTAAACTATTCTAAACATAAATCAAGCGCACACAGGCGGATGACTACCTGTTTACAATACAAACTTGGATTTACTCTTGCGCACAATATGTATACGAGTATGTATGTATATCCACATACTACAATGATGAATCGGATATGAAATGCAGCTTCTAAAGCTTGCACAAACATTGTGATCAAAAAGACATAATTTGCGCACATTGGAATGAAGGTTTTCGTGTTTGGAATTATTTTCCATTATTTTATTGTTTGCCATGGAAATTGTGTACTCTTCGATGGTGGCTTACTTTTTCGAAAATTCAAAAATTTTGCTAAAATATTTTTTCAATTGTACAAAATTGTAATAGTTCACCTAACGATTATAGGCATATATTGGTCTTTGTATTTGTATATATATGTAGCAGGTAAGTATGTATAGCAGTGTACTTTTATCGGTTTGGCTTGCTGCTGACATGGCGAAATGCAGTCAAAGCGTTTTACATGTAAATGGATTGTCAACATTGACATCGTTACCACGAATTTTGCTTGCCAGCTGCACACACTAACACAACATTGCATATATTTTATATGTTATATATATGCCATATATACCGGTCCAAATGGAAGTTCAGTTATAAAGTTCATAAGCCTCTGGCTTGCAACGGTTGAGGTATACAATGAAACGGATTCAATTTTCGGTCGTTGTTTTTGTACCGAGAATGTGGAAATGATATAAAGTTGAGTGGCTGTCAATAATGAAATCCTTTTTCTCTTGACTTGAAATTGACTTTTTATCATGCTGCTGTTGCGATTTTTTATAGCTTAAACTTCATATGCATATATTTGCATATATTCCACCAAAGATTGTATGTGGTAGTGCCACCAAAAATGCAACAACGTGTTAATGGATGCATCTGATTGAATAATATCACACCTTCATATAAAGGCAGACAAAGAATGAAGAAAACTCATACATAGTATGGCCATGCTACATTGCGCTTAAATTGTTAAAATCTACAAAAAAAGGTCTTGCATCCACATCGCACACCTGGAAACGTGAGCAACTCTTGTGCAAGATATGGTAACCAATACATATAGAGTCTTGAATCACAGCTAAAAATGAGGAAGCTTCAGTGGAGTCACTCCGACTTATGCGGTTTAAGGGTTCGCAAAAGTATATGTGCAGCATCTGACTGTCACCACCGCCGTCAAAAAGTGCGATGGATGGGAGGGAATGAGTAGGTACTGGTAAGATTTCCCACAGCGGTCATATAAGGCAGTGTAAGTTTAGTATCGGATTCGTAACGTCACAATCCATATCAAAGCGAAACTTTTTAACATTTCGCTGATTTGCATCCCCATAAAAGAGAAAGACGACGTGACCAAGCGTATCTTTTATGAGCGTAGCTCCCGCCCCGATATGAAAATGGTGCTTGATAACTCTAACGGCAGAGTGGGAAAAGAAAGTATCTTTGGTACAATGACGAAAAAATTCAGTCACCACAACGAAACATCCTCTAATGATCACTACTAGACTTCAGCGCAAGAAAATTCATCAAGTTACTTAGCTTGATC